GGAACAGGCTGCCCAGGGAGGTTGTGGAGTCTCCTTCTCTGGAGATATTCAAGACCCGTCTGGACAAGGTCCTGTGCAGTCTGCTGTAGATGACCCTGTGTCGGCAGGGGGGTTGAACTAGATGACCCATAGAGGTCCCTTCCAACCCCTACCATTCTGTGATTCTGTCACCAAGCTGCAGCTGGGTTTGCTCTCTGTCTTTTTTTTTCATTCCAGGTGTTGTTCATGAGCACCTTATTAATTAATAAACATTAATTAAAAACTGAAGGTGATGAGCAGGGAAACAGAAGGGCAGAAATGAAGTGCTTTTCCCAGGTCCCAGAGAAATGGTGTTGGGAAGATGTCCTACAACTCCCATCTCAGTGCGCGGCTGGCTGCTGGGTTGCGGCAGCTTCAGGCAAAACCTGACCAGCTCCGGGTAAACACACAAAGGCTTTTGGCATGCTCGCAGCTCGAGGTGTGGCTCTGTCTCTTTGGTGTCCCTGTGTCAGGGCACAGTTCGCTCCTGCGGCATGAGCTCCTCCCAGGGTGAGGGGAGCAGCGCGGGGCCTGGGTCCCCCTCCCCAGTTTTGCCCAGCCGCTGAGGGCTCTGTGTCATGGAAGGTTAATCCACGTCTGCCACTAGACCAGCCGGCTTTTTCACTTTAACGCTGTTTCTGCGTCAATAACTTAGCTGACATAGGAATCGACCACAAGTGCTTATGCGTGAGCACCATTTGGGCCTCAAGCGTTTGGTGTATTTCTGACAATTTTTTCCTTTTTTCTTTAAACCAAATGCACCATCTGTTCATTTCTCTGGACGTATGTTCTGCATCTAAACATTTTTGAAAGGAGGAAGTAAATTGCGTGGCCTGTCAGCAATGTTTCTTTCAAAGACCACACATTACAATTCTTGTTACTAAAATTACATTTTGGACCCTTTATGGATCTGCTGTTGCTGCATGTATGGAGCACAGCGGGACCCGTAACACCCAGGTTCATAAAAGTTAGTGAAACTCATTCTGTTGTCAAGAAGTACGTAAAGTTCTTATTGACTGAATTAAACAGACTTTGCGCAGTTTCGAAGCAAGAACTATGAGCTATATTAAAGAACTCAGTGTAGGAACAACAGGAGATTAGCTACTGGAGAGAAAAATTCAATTGTCACTCTAATGGACCTTTCCCATTTAGTTCTGAAGAGTTTTAAGATAAGCATTGACAAAGCACTAGAAAAGGTAATTTTCTGTTGATAGCGAATTAGCCTGCAAATGGTGCATAGCATAAATGCCGTTAGAAAATGCTGTTCTCTTCGTTTTATTCCTTTATAGTATTTTCACATTGAAAACTCCTGTGCAGTCTATCGTAATATCTGCCAGTAACTAAGATTGTTATCAGATCTGAGGGGGTGCAGGAGGGTACCAGATGAGGTTTTTATTGTGATTATGCAGTAATGCAACACAGACTGTAAGTCCTTCTGGATTTCTGTTTGCCAGTGCAGAAGGGACTATAATTATAAACAGAACACGGTTGTTTGTTAGCTTTGCTCCTTTTGGCATAAATAGAATAATTTACTCCAAGGTGGCTTTTAAGAAAGTGGAATTTCGGTGATACGAAATAATTATTGCAAAACGTGCTTTCATCATTATGCTGGTCCCTTAGGTGCACAATTTTCATTAGAACAAACGAGAACAAATCTCTTTCTGCAGGCTGCATCTCGGGACACTGGTATGGACAGTGAGAGTACTGCTGCTGTGTACAAAACTTCTCTTTTCGAATGTCATGTCTTACAGTTCCCCTTCAACAGATGATATAGAACAGATAATTATACAAAAATGTGGTGCTTAGACTCTGTAAAAACTAGCAAGCCTTTTATGCAGATTCAAATTAAACTTGCAAAGTAGTTGGTTGAGATGATTTCACAAATATGAGTGATTGAATGTCATCCCCATTAGCAACCGAGCTGCTTGCTGTTTCATTGAAATGTCTTTTTTTCATAAACATGATCTGGGTATTCAAAGAGCATCTTGTGTCAAGTGAGAGTATGAATTATACACGTATGGGAGTAACAGGAGGGCACACTTACCCAGGGCTTGGAGTGTGAGCTACTTGGAGGAAAAGGCCTGGGTTCCTGATCATTTCCATCTTGCATTATTGTCTCCTGTGGCCACCGTTCTGCTTTGTACCTGTCAGTCTCACACC